GGCACCAGGGCTGCTCTGTTAATATTTAGCATGTGCTTACTGACATTTATTTACATGTTTTTCTGATCATGTTTTTCTGAACTCAAGTAACCTTCTTTGGATTTTTGAGTTCTTTTTAACAAAGAACTTTGGACAAAAGTATGCTGGACCTGAAGTAAGGTGTCTACAGCATTGGACTGTAGTCCACCACCCCATTCTTTGAGGTCCTCAGATCTCAGGTGCAGCAGACAGGATCCAAAAAGTGGACAAAAGAGTGCTTGCTGTAAGAGCATGAGGAGGTGGATTTGTATCCCCAGTACCCAGGCGAAAGCTGAGTGCAGTGGCACATGCGCATAATCCCAGCATTGGGAAGCAGTGAGAGGTGAGAGGAGAGTCCCCAGGGCTTGTTCGCTGGCTAATCTTACCAAAGTGCTGAGCTCCATCCAGTTGAGTCAACACTTTATCTTAAAAAACAGAGTGGTACACCTTTTGCCCCAGCACTTGGGAGACACAGGCAAGTGGATCTCTGTGAGTTTGAGCCCAACCTGGCCCACATAGCAAGTTGCAGGCCAGCCAAGTTACACAGTGAGGATCTCTCTGTAAATAAATAAGTGGAGAGCAACTGAATGTGGCCACTTTGAACTTCTACGTACCTACACATACATGTATACATGTGCACAAGTTCCTGCCTGTTAAGAGAAGCTTTCCTTGAGAGGAGCCTTCCCGCCAGCCTGGTTCCAGAGCCGTTTCAATCCCAAATAAACACACAAGAGGCTATATTCATTATGAAGCTGTTGGCCTTGCTTGTCTCTTACTGGCTAGCTCTGCTTTAAGTAATTACCCCATAATTGTTAATCTAAGTATGTCTCTTACCGGAGAATAGTTCTGGGCTCCTACCCCCATGGCGGTTACATGTTGACTCTCCTGTGTTTCTCCTACCCAGAATCCTCCTGGATTCCTAGCCCCACCTATCTAGATTCCTATTGGCCAGACAGTGCTTTATTAGCATAAGACTTCCCCAACACCTGCCTACACATACATACACACGTGTGCACAAGTACCCTCCTACACATACATGCACACATGTACACAAGCACCTCCTTCCATATACATGCACACATATGTATAAGCCCCTACCCACATGACTCTATAAGGGGTGGTGGCCCACAGTTTAAGAAACTGTGCTCTAGAGGTGACTTAAAGGAGAGGATTATGTGGGCACATGCAAGTTATGTTATGATTTTATAGTGTATGATTGACTGAGAGAAATGAAAGGGAAATTTACAAATACTGATTGGGAGGGGAATTAACTGCAAGCAACCAACTTTCCTTGTTTTTCTTCCTTCCTTTCTTTATTCCCCCCCTTTCTGTTTCATCTTGAAATAGGAAATACACACAGTAACCAGAACACTAACCATGAAGATTGAGAAGACAATTTAATCCTTTGTGTCTTTTTAAATTGTGGAGGAGTCACTCAGCTGACTTTAAAGGTCAGCTTAGAGCACAAGTTTATGAGGAAACCCTGGATAGATCTTACGGAGCGAGGATAAGCTGCAACACATGATGGGCAAACCAAAACAGATGAAAGATTCGTTACAATTTCACAGAACTTAGTAAAGCTTTAAGCTGTTGGTTGCCTTTGCTCTCTTCTCTTTGGGGGGGGGCATAACCCAGCTTCCAAATAATCACACCCACAGAATCTTATTCTTTCTTATGAATACCCAGCCTTAGCTTTGCCAAGCCCGCTGCACAGCCTGTATCCGAGAATGTGGCGAGGGGGTCGGGATTGATGACACAGAGACGGGTCGGTTGCGTTAACAAATCTTTATGCTCCCCAAGTCGGCTTAAGAGAACTTCCCAAGAAAATGCTTCCCTTCAGAAAAACTTCTGCCATACATACACGCACACATCTCCCACACATCTCTCTTTCTCCTCCTGGCTGGTGGTTAAATCCCCAACACCAGAATCGGTGACGGCAGGGGGCAGGAAGTGGCTAGCCTTTGGGAAGATCAAAGTCAGGGTGTTTCAGTGAGCAAGCCCTTATAGGGAACTTATGGCTCCGGTAAACATTTCTTAGGGCACTGGACTGTTTTCAGTAAACATGTTTTCAGTAAACATTGTCTCACAGCTGCCTGCTCCCAGGCTGATGGAGGAGTGGGTTTCCGGCCAGAGTCTGTTGTTCCCACATAGCTTGACTTTTCTAGTCAGCTTTTCTTAACTTACATTATCCCATCTACTTTTTACCTCTGGGCTTTTACCTATCTCTATTTCTGCATGTCTTTTCTTTCCTTCTTATTCCATGTCTGGCTGTGTGACTAGCCCCTCCTATTCTCACTTCTTCATCTCTCCTCCCAGATTTCTCCTCCTATTTATCCTCTCTGCCTGCCAGCCCTGCATGTCATTTCTCCTGCCTTGCTATTGGCCAGTCAGCTCTTTATTAGACTAATCAGGTGTTTTAGACAGGTAGATTAACACAGCTTCTCAGAGTTAAACAAACGCAAAATAAAGGAATGCAGCCCATCTTTGCATCATTATAGAAATGTTCTACAGCACAAACAAATGTAACAGATCTTAAAATAGTATTCTATAACACTGGATCCCAATGAGTCCCAGGGATCCTCTTTTTTTTTTTTTTTGTATGTTTGTTTCTGTTTTGTTTTTTGAGACAGGGTTTCTCAATGTATCCCTGACTATCCTGGAACTAGTGCTGTAGACCAGGCTGGTGTCACACTCATGGAGATCTGCCTGCCTCTGCCTCCCAAGTGCTGGAATCAAAGGCTCGTGCCACCACTGCCTGGCCCTGGGATGCTGTACCCACCTCCCCAGTACTGGAATTGCGGGCAATGTGGCCATGCCTGGGTTCCCACAAGGGTGCTGGGGGCAGAAACCGGTCCCTGTGCTTGTGCAGCAAGCACTTTCCTCACTGAACATCTCCCTAGCACCACCAGAACGTGCTGTTATGGAGCAGCTGCCACGAGGTGAAGCGCGAATTCTAATTGGTCTTAAATAATAAAAGCCTGGAGTTGAATATCGGGGTTAATGCTGAAAGATCAGAGAAGTGAAGGAGACAGCCACTAGAGAGACTTCTTACCTCTACCGAATCCTCAGACCAAAGGCAGGAGATCCTGTCTCCACCTACCTTATATTCTTGTCTTCACCTCCCAGTGCTGGAAATAAAGGTGTGTGCCTCACAAGTCCTGGGATCAAAGGTGTGTGCCACCATTGCCGGGTCTCTATGGCTAACTAGTGGCTAGCTCTGCCCTCTGATCTTCAGGCCAGCTTTATTTGTTAGAGCACAAACAAAATATCACCATAGCAAGGCAGGCACTGTCATAGACACTGGGGATATGAGATGATCAAGGTCTCTGGCTGCAGGGAGTTTTACTGTGTAGGAGGGGAAACAGGTACATTCATAAATGCGTGCATGTGATGACTTTAGGCTAAATACGTGCATGTAATGACTTTAGGCGGCAGTGGGTGCTATGGGAAGGGGGAGGGGGAGTGCAGTGAAGAGGTGGGTGGGTGTGAAGTCTCTCAGTGGTCAGCACCATTTCACCCTCCAGTGCTCTGCTCTGGGGTGCTGAGGAAAAGACCCTGCTATGTGTATTTCCCCCTTGCTGAGGGCTTCCTGCTTCCAAGTGTTGGGGGGATGGGCGACTTCGGGGCTAGAGAGAGGAGGACCTGCTCCAAGGAACAGTTCATCACCTCAGCAGTGCCGCTAGCTTCTCCTCCTTCTTCCCGCTTGCCCCAGCCACCTCCGTGTGCCTTTCGGCACACATGCCTAGTAGCCAGCCATGCTCGCGGTGTGAGGCCTGCATCTGAGCTGTGCAGGCCTCCACAACGGGCTTTAGCTGCTGGAGGAATGAAGATTTGTTGGGATGGGGATGGCGGAAGTAGAGGGGGGATGGAAGTAACCGTGTAAGAAGGCCTGCTTGGTCTGTGTACTTTCTGCCTGGCACAGCCACTTTCTCAGACACACAGAGATGGTTTCTGTGGAACTTTCCCCCACTGTGGAGATGCTCTACAATCTGTGCTTCCCATAGGCTCAACATCCATATGCCTGCTGATGCTAGAAACGTGGCCAAGTGAAACCAAAGAACAACCCAGGATTTAATTTCACTTTAATTAAATACTTGAATTTAATAACCAGAGTTGACCCAACATGAGCCAATGTCATTAGAGTGTGATTTTAAGTGCTTGCACACTTGGGGGCTGTGGAAAAAGTATAGTTAATTTGAGAACAATGGGGACCTGCTGGAAAAACTCACTATTGGCAAATGCAGAGCAGAACCCCCGTCCTCAGTCTCTGTGGTTTCTGTATTGTATGGACACTGGCTTACCACGCACACACACGCTCTGCTACATTTCTGCATATCACAGCCTCTTGAGTTTTCTCTCCTCTTCTAGTCACTCATCTCAGTCTCTACAGCCCCTCCCCATTGGCTAAGTTTAGAAGAAAGCTTTTTAGAGTTTCTGAAAGATACTCGTTATGACTCTTGTTCTCAGCCTGCCAATATCTTCTACTCTGACCACGTGCCCTGGTGCTGCCTCATGAATTCTGTCAGTCTGTGGTGTGTGCTTCTCCACATGCTTGTGAGTGGGCGAAGAGTCAAGAGGTAGATAGCTGAATTTCTACCACCTCATCTACCAGTCTATTTAAGTAGTCTGATCTCTTTTGGGATGCTGGGAACAGTTGTCACCTGCTCTCTTGGGGTGGTGGATGTAATAGATACCTTTTCCCTCCAAGGGGCCCATCCTCCACATGGTTGTCCATCCACTACGTGATGGGGCATTTGGTACAGTTTTCCAGTTTTCATCTTTATTCTGGAAGTTAATTAATGAATGAGATGGCTTGGAACTGTGTCTTGAGTTTTCTAGAAGAAGAAAAAGAATTAGAACATTTTAGATAGGGCAGCTTGACAAAAGTTCAGAGGTAAGAAATAGTATGTATGGGGAGTGGAGGTAGACTTAAAAAGGTCGATGGCTGCATTTCATATCACTGTGTTCATTTCTGTTCCTATAGGACTCACCATCCACTTTTTGTTCATCTTACAGGAATGAGAGAAATGGTAAGTGTATCACAAAACGATGGATTTTTATATAGTGATAAGCCTGAAAATTCCCCACCCACCTTGTTACTGTTTCCATGTCCCCAGGTCTCCCTAACAAAGCAAAAGAGACCCACAGAGATGGGTGTGTCTGCTCCCAGACTTCCCTGGGGCATGAACTTCAGAGGTTGTGTGCATGCTCTGCCCTTAGCTGATGACAAAATCGGCTGTGAGAAGACATCGGTTTGCTCGCAAAAACATCAGAGAGCAATTATAGAAAGCATCATCCCAGTCACATGTCATTACTCAAGAGCTATCAGTGAGGGTGGGGTGGGACTCCACCGGTACAGTGTTTGCCTAGCATGCATGTTCAGTCTCCAAACAGTATAAGCCAGGCAATACATGTCTATAATCTCATCACTAGTTAAGACAGGCAAAAAGATCAGAAATCCAAATTTTTTCTGAGCTACATGGCAGAGTTTGAGGCCTGCCTGGGCTACATGCCACCCTGTCTCAGAAGCCAACTAACAAATCATCAGCCCCCAGTGCCCTTAAGTAGTCAGAAATTCTCACATGAATTTTGAGACTTGTATTTATCGGAAAACCACAAATTCTGCTTTATATGTCAGAAAATATTTGCTAGTTAGTATGACTGAGGGACAAATCACCCTCAAAACAATGATGTAAACAACCTTTGATTATGTGCAGACATTCTTATATGTGAGAAATCTGAGCAAGAGTCAGCAGGGAAGGGTTTTGTCACTGTCCTACAATGTCTGGGCCTCAGTGCGTAGACTAACAGGCAGATGACATGATGCTGAGTTCTGATACTTGTGTGTCTGCTTGGTGCTGGGGAGACACAGCGTTTGTCTCTCCATATGACATCTTCACGCAGCCTCTCTTGTCCAGTGATTCCCCGTACACTTGTGCTGAGAAAGCAAGCCAGATAACAGAATCACCACCACTCTCGTCTGTTATGTGAGTCTGTCATTAGCGCCCATATCCACAAGAAGAATGTGTCCCCAACTTCGGTGGAAAGAAGGTTGGAGAATGTGTAACCTCTGTAAAAACTACTGTAAGCCATACTATACTTTAAGGCTCCTAAACTGTGGCACTACCATGATAAACACACATGGAGGCATTGACCTCCCAAATCTCGGCTCATCAGTTAGGATTCCGTTCAGATATCACCCATACCGTAACCTCCAGGAGACCCACATTTAGAGTAGTTCTGCCCTTCTCTGTACTCCTGTGGACCTCTGCTTCAACTTTCCTGTCTTGAATATATATTTATTGGATGGATAAATAGACCAGAACAATAAAATGTCAGTGTGAAAGTGACCTTGTGTAGCTTGTTTGTGAGCTCGTTTATTTCTATTCATGGCTATCCCTCCTGTGGACTTGTAGCATCTGGAAGGCAGGGACCAAATCTGACCTACCTCTGAATCTCCCCGTCTGCCTCTGTCTTCCATCACTGCTTCTGTTGGAGTCTTTGAAAGAATGTCAGTTAAGTGAAGGCGGCCTTCCCCAACACACACACACACACACACACACACACACACACACACACACAATCAGACCCTTAATCAATCAGGTAATATTTGATGAGGTTGCAGGTTGGAACAATTGTGAGACATAGTCCCCAAGTTCTGAAAGAATGTAACATGTTCTTAAGCCCTGGGATGCTGAAGATCAGAATTACAGGTCTGTGTCGTGGCTGCCTCTTACATCAGTGGGAGGAAGTACCCAGCTAAGGGCTCATTTCTGGTCCTGCTTCTGTGGGATGCAGCTCATCGTGGAGGGGATGCTTGGCAGCAGGAGCCTGAGCATCCAGGCCCAGAAAGTAGAGAGATGAATTCGGTGCTTAGTCCAGGGTCGCAGCCTGTGGGGTGCTGCCGCCCCCACTTGTGTAGGTGTTCCTCGGGTAGAAATTTCTGAAAGCACCCTCCCAGATACGTTCAGAATTATCTTCTACAATATTCCAAATTCAGTCAGGTTGACAATCGAGATTAACCACGACAGTTTAGAAGTTAAATATCTGCAAAGATCCACGGGTTGGTGGTGCTGTTCCTAGCAGGGTGCGGTTGGGAGGTTGGTAGGTCACTGTGGCACATGTCTTCAAAGAAGACTTTTGATCCTAGACCATCTTCTATTAAAAAGAAGATTTATCTTACGTATTGTATTTTGATGTGCCTGAGTGTCTATATGTGTACCATGCAGATACTTGGAGGCCAGGAGAGTGTGCCGGATCCATACAACTGGAGTCCAGATGGCTGTGAGCTGCCTAACATGGGCTCTAGGAAGTGAACCTAGGTCTTCCATATGAGCAGTAAGTGCGTGTGAGTGCGGAGCCATCCCTCTAGCCCTCCACATATTCCTTGGTTTCTTGACTCATGATGTAAACGATTTGATTTGCCATGTGCTCCCCCCGTAGTGTCCTGCCTCACCAGAGGTCTAAGACAGGGTCCTACCAGCCACAAATCAAAATAACCCTTTTGTTTTAAAGGTAATTGTCTCTAGCATTTCATTACGGCCATGAGAAGCTGGCTAGCATACCTTCTGACTAGCCAAATTTTTGTTCTTGTTCAATAAAACCCTGATGTTCTTTGTGCACACGTATCTGGGAAGAGCTAGAGAGACAGCCCTGCTCTAGCCATCCTTTCTAGCCCCTCCCCATCTCTTCTGCTTTCTAGGACACTTCAAATGGGTTAACAAAGATGGTTGTGTTCCTAGACAACAAGAAAACGGTTAGGGCTAGCGGTTGGCTCAAGGGGTTAAAAGCGCTTGCCACACAAGCCTGATTCCCGGAGCCCTATGAAAAACCAGATGTGGTAGGTCACATCTGTAATCCCGGCACTTCTGCAGCGAGATGGGGTATGCTGTGCACCACAAACATGAGAAACGGTGCTTTAATGAGATGGGGGCGAGAACCGACTCTCAAGTCACAGGGCACGGCATGAACATACCCCAAACAAGCAAATAAGTAAGTTAAAAAGCAGCACACTATTTGTGGGTTTGAAAGAAGTGACTTTTTAGGGGCCTTTAAAACACACCTTGGCCACACAGAAGGATCTTAAGGCCTCTTAAGTCACTCTTAAGCACGACTGTCTTCAAAATCCCAAACAGGATAAATAAAATACGATGCTGGCAACTGAACAAACCAAGTACTATGAATATGTTTTGTTTAAGATTTTTATAAAAATTATGTTTTGGTCAGAGTCTCCCTCCATAGACTAAGGCTGCCTTGTAATTACTATGTAGCCCAGGCTGGCCTCAAATTCACACCTGTCCTCCTGGTGATAAGCAGCAGCATGGATGTGTAAGCTGAATAAATCCTTTCCTTCCCAACTTTTATTCATGGTGCTCTGTTGCAGCAATAGAAACCCTCAGAAAGACACGTTGGTACCTGGAGAGGGGTGTTACTGTGACAGGCCTGACCATTTTGGGGGGGGGGATTTTGGAAGAAATCTGGAACTTGGGGCTCGAAGAGCCTGTGAGTGTTGAGAGCTCAGTGGGATGTTCTATCAGAGCTTGGCAGGTAACAATGTTGAAAGCAGAACCAAAGATGGGGCCTGGCCTGCAACGCTTCAGAGGGAAGCTTAAAGACTCTACCAGGGCTGTTTGCTATTTTGAATTAAGATTCTGTTATTCTGGTCAGCTGGGGCTGAAGAGTCAGAGACCAGCACCATTGAAGTGAAACCTTTGTGTTACTGGGACAATTGGTGCTGGTTAGCAGGAGCTGAGACCAGAGTCTTCTGTGAAGTGTTTCCCAGGAGCACAGAAAAGATGTGTTCCAGAGGTGGCCAAGGCAACACCTCATGTTGATAGTAGGGTTGGTAACATGTAAGGGTCATCCAGGTTTTAATGGTTTTGAATTCATGCAGAGAAGCTGAGGCTTGGCACCATGATGAGAGCCTATGAGAGCTATTGGTGTAGGTGCAGCCCAATCGCAGCAGAAGCCCCCAGATGGAGATGCCAGTGTCGGGGGGTGACCACCAAGGACAGCAGCAGCAGTGGAGAGCGGCCAGCCTGAGCCCAGAGGACGGCTGTGTGTGCTGCTGGAGAAGCGGCCCACGCCCTTTGGAAGAGTCCAGAAGACGGTGAGTGGACCCCAGACATTGGTTGGTTGGAGTGTGGTTTTGCTTTGATTTGATTGTGACTGTGCCTTGATGCTTCACTCTTGAAGTAAGAAAGCATTTGGTTACATTGTGACTGTGCCTTGATGCTTCACTCTTGAAGTAAGAAAGCATTTGGTTACATTGTGACTGTGCCTTGATGTTTCACTCTTGAAGTAAGAAAGCATTTGGTTACATTGTGACTGTGCCTTGATGTTTCACTCTTAAAGTAAGAAAGCATTTGGTTAATTTTTTTTTTTTGGAGCCCACAATGGAGAGACTTTGAATTTTAAAAGACTTTGGATTTTAAAAGAGATTGGCTATCTTAGAGACTGAAATTTTAATGTGTTTGAATTTGTAAAGTCTGTAGGACTTTCAAAATTACTTATGTTTTTAATGTGAGATCTTGGGGATGCATAAGAAAGGAAGGGTTGTGGCTTAATAGTGATGTGCTTGTGTGTCAAGTTAACAAGGGGTCTTTTTACTGGCTGGTTTTATGTCAACTAGACACAAGCTAGAGTCTTCAGAGAGGCAGGAGTCTCCATAAGATCCAGCTGTAAGGCATTTTCTGAATCAGTGATCAATAAGGGAAGGCCCAGCCCACTGTGGGTAGTTCCATCCCTGGGTTTGCAGTCCTAGGTTCTCTAAGAAAGCAGGCTGAGCAAGCCATGGGGAGCAAGCCAGTAAGCAGCACCCTCCATAGCCTCTGCATCAGCTCCTGCCTTCAATTTCTGCCCTGCTTTCGTTCCTGTCCTGACTTCCTTTGGTGATAAACAGAGATATGGAAGTGTAAGCCAAATAAACCCTCCCCTCCCCCAGTTTGCTTTTTGGCCATGGTGTTTTGTTGTGGCAACAGAAACACTCAGACAGACAGGAAGGCTAGTTTAGGGAAAGGAAAGTGATAAAGTAGCTGAGGAATTGGGGAGAACATTTACTAATGGCTCCTTGACCCCACCTGTCACTCTTAAGACCCATGTATATTTGATTCGTTTTTATAACCCTGATTCCAGATTCAGACTTTCTATGGCCCAGTGTCCCCAGATTGGACACTAACTTGAAAGCGGAGACAAATATCCTGATGATGGCATGGATGCTCCCCCAGACATTTCTTGGGAATGAACCTTTTCCAGAACTTTCTTTCTATGGCTGAGCCCTCACACGTGTCCCCGAGCCTTAAAACCCTGCCTGGCAATTGTCCGCCCATTCTCTCTTGCAGATACACGTCCACTGCTCACAGGTGCTGGGACGCCTCCACCATCATGAGCCATAAAACAGCTATGGTCTATGTCAGGCGATCCCTGGTGCTCCTGCCATGGTCTATTCCAGGCGATCCCTGGTGCTCCCGCCCTGGTCTATGCCAGGCTATCCCTGGTGCTCCCGCCCTGGTCTATGCCAGGCTATCCCTGGTGCTCCTGCCCTGGTCTATGCCAGGCTATCCCTGGTGCTCCCGCCATGGACTATGTCAGGTGATCCCTGGTGCTCCCACCCTGGTCTATGTCAGGCTATCCCTGGTGCTCCTGCCCTGGTCTATTCTAGGCTATCCCTGGTGCTCCCATCTTGGTCTATTCCAGGCTATCCCTGGTGCTCCTGCCCTGGTCTATTCCAGGCTATCCCTGGTGCTTCTGCCCTGGTCTATGTCAGGTGATCCCTGGTGCTCCCGCCCTGGTCTGTGCCAAAAGATCCCTCGTGCTCCCACCTTGTGTGGAGCAGCGTCAAGCCTGACCTTGCATCCACTTCTATTTGCCCATTCTCAGAGCCTCATGAGGCCTCCTTTAACTTCCCATACAATGTGGCTCCCCTAGAGGTAATTCCATCATCCCATCAATGCCTGGCCCAATAGCATTTGTGTTAATCGTATTACTAAGCAGAAAGGATTTTGGAGAACTACATATGCATGCATATTAAATATATACATGTACAGTGAGGGGTGTGGCTAGGGAGGCAACTCCGTGGCAGAGTGTTTGCCCTGTATGCACAAAGCCCTGGGTTTGATCAGAAGGACTTCCGGGTCACATACACTTTCAATTCAAGGGATTGACAGGAGAACGAAAGCCAGTTTGTCCGGAAGATGTTTGGAGCCTTCCAGGATCAGAAGCAAAGATGGCATTTGTGTGAATGTATCCTCTCTTGACTCGGGGACAAGACAGTACCGTTCAAGTTATTGTAAATCCATTCAGAGCTGGGCAGTGGTAGAGGGCTTGTTTATCAAGAGCAGAGCCCTGGATTTAATCTCCAGCAGCACACAGACAGACAGACAGACAGACAGACACACACACACACACACACGGTGGGGGGTATTTACTGAACACCCCCTAGGTGCTCAGTATCTTGAGGGGTTTGCATCCAGAGACTCCAACAGTGAACAGAAGAGGCCATGACTTGGCCTTAAGAAGTTTAGATTTTGAAAGCCAGGTGTGAAGGTGCACACCTTTAATCCCAGCACTAAGGAGGCAGAGGCAGGTGGACCTCTGTGTGTTCCAGGTCAGCCAGAGATGTTATACAGAGAAACCCTGTCTGGAATAACAGTAAGTAGAAAAATAAGTAAATTAATTAGCTAAAATGAAGATTTTCATAGAGGATGCACACAGCATAGAAAAAAAGAAAGACGTGATTTCACGTCCCTCAAGTGCCATGATGAAATCAACACAGAACAAGCTGGAGAAGGGTATAGGGGCCATTTGAGGAAGCCCGGCCAGGCAAGACCTCAGTTTAAGAGTTGCTTAAAAGGGAGCAGAACTCCCATCATGCCAAGGGTGTACACAGAAATAGTAAGTGCCAAGACCCTGAGGGGGAACAGACATGAGGCTAGGGGTATGGTTTAGTCAGTAAGGTGACTGCTGTACAAGCATGTGGACCTGGGTTTGAATCCCCAACACCCATGTGAAAAGTGGGGCCTGGCAGTCCAGGTATATAGCTGTAACTCTGGCATTGGTGTGTGAGTGTGAGTGTGTGTGAGTGTGTGTGAGTGTGAGAGTGAGTGTGAGTGAGTGTGTGAGTGAGTGTGTGAGTGAGTGTGAGTGTGTGAGTATGTGTGTGTGAGTGAGTGTGTGAGTGTGTATGTGTGAGTGTGTGAGTGTGTGAGTATGTGTGAGTGTGAGTGAGTGTGAGTGAGTGTGAGTGAGTGTGAGTGTGTGAAGACCAGAGGATCCCTGGATCTCAGTGGCCATTCAGTCTATGAATCAGTGAGTTGCAGATTCAGTGAGTGACTGTTTCAAAAAATAAGGTGACAGAGGAGGACACACATGTGCACACACACGGGCATGAGCACACAACATACACACATACACACAATAATAACAATAGTAGTGAGGGCAGAGCATGTTTGTGAACATCAGCTGCACGCTGCCCCTTTGAGTCCTGTCCTGGGTTCCTCTCTCATGCTGGAGGATGAAAAGGCTGCACATAACTGAATGGGATAGGAGGAAGAGCACAGGGTCATCAAAGGCCACCAGAAGACCTCTGGATGAAACCAGAGACACTGGCACCCTGTGACTACTCCTCCTTGCCAAGAAAACATGTAACCAGGGGATGAAGGAAGGCGTGCCAAGATGGCTGTCTTAGTGCCGTCAGGTGCTTTGGGCTCCAAGAGACAGGCAGGCAGCTTACACAGTCAAGAACAGGAAGTCTCTTGCTGTCGGCTTGCTCACACAGTTAGACAGGAACAGCTTTGTAGAACTCTACGGCCTATTCAGCTCCTTAGCAGGCATTTACTAAAAGATGAGGCCCACTGTAGAGGTGCCTTCACAATGGAACATGGCTGGAAACTGCAACCCAAGTCCACCGTTCCTTGCTTGTCAGAGTAGTAACAAACAGCGGGTTCATATGTTCAAATGATTGCTAGGCTTGACCAAGCAAGTTATTTGCTGAAAATTGGGTTGTGTGGTTCTGCTCACTAGTTTCACCCTCTGGACTGTCTTAGCCAACAGCAGTTCTCAGTGCACCCTTTCACATCTGGGAAAAGAGAAAACATGTGGCCACCTTCCCTTGGGTCTATGGGTGCTGCCTGTACCCTGGTGTCTGCTCATTAGTTCTTGTGTGTAGTCTTGTGGGCACTGTGGAAGACATCAGGGAAGAAATAGTGCCTGGAAGACAACAGTGTCCTCCAGTACAGTGAGGAGGGCTCCTGAGTGTCACCTGCTTTCCCTGTTGCTGTGATAAAACATCATTGACAAAGCAACTCATGGGAGAAAGGGATCATTTGCATTCACAGTTCAAGGTTCATCTCATCATGGTGGGGAAGCCAAGGCAGAAGGGGCTTGAAGTAGGTGGTCACATGACTTCTACAGTCAGAAACAGAGAAGGGTGACTATGTGTTGCTACCCAGTTCCCTGTCTCCATTTTATACAGTGCAGGACCCCAGTCAGGGAATGGGCCTGCCCACAAGAAGGGTGTCTTCCTGCATCGGTGGGGGGGGGCAGGTGATTCCAGATCCTGTTGTGTTGACCTAAATAGTCTTTACCTTCAAATGTCGTATATGAGACATTCCATGTATATGACAAGGTTGTTGGAAAAAGAAAAATTCCATGTGAGGAGAATTGAAACACACACACACACACAGAGACACACACACAGACACACACACAGACACAGACACACACACACAGACACACACACACACACAGACACACACACAGACACAGACACACACACAAACAGACACACACACAGACACACACACAGACACACACACACAGACACAGATACACACACACACACAGACAGACACACAGACAGACACACAGACAGACACACACACAGACACACACACAGACACACACAGGCACACACACAGACACACACAGACACACACAGGCACACACACAGACACACACAGGCACACACACACAGACACACACACAGACACCCACACAGACATAGACACACACACACACACACACACACATACACACACTCTTCAGAGAGGAAAGGAAAGGTAGGGCTGTGCATGCTTAGCGGGAAGGAGTTCATTTGCAGCCATGGGATGG